GAGGGTAAGAGATATTGAATCTAATTGGTACTTCTGACCACCTTACTCCAGATTGTAAGATCCAGCTGGACGTTCCAAAACCAGATTTTACCCAAACTAGACAAGCCTTCTTAAAGTCTAAAAATAATCAAGATGGTGATAGCATTGTTTGGAATGATGTTTATAATGCGCATTGTCCTGCTAATGCTCTGAACGTGTTATTGTCAGACATCATAACGAGGTAAGTACCCTGCAGAACTCTTTAATTCTCGTTCACATGATAAAGCATAGTTTAATGAACGATATTGCCAGGCTTTTGGAGACAAACATACTGCCTACTTTCCAAGAGAATTATTGTAAGGCGTTCTAGAACCTTACATTTAAATTGCAAATTATGAATAAGGTATCATTCGCAAATGCAAAAAATATATGAAAAAGATAACTTTACTTGTAAATCCTTACTTTTATCCTGGCTCATTTTAGTACTATTCCCCTGTGCGGTTTTCTGCTGCAGTCACACTTAATACTGCTTAATCGTTCTCTTGAGTCCATTAAATTTCTTTTGTCTGAATGAACTTTGAACAGTGGGCATCATAGGGATATTGGGGATCTTTCAGTCGTAAATAAGAATGTAATTGATAATTCACATCCCCTTTATGAGCCTTTACCTGATTTATTATCAATTTGTAATTTACTAGAAGTTCTATGACCCTCAATTCAATTTGGTGTAAGTCGTCTACATCACAGATCTGTAGATTTTTTTTTTTCTGAAAGTTCAACTAATATGTTTTTACTACGCAAATAACATGATTTTCTATCTTATCTTTTTTAGCTGTGTTTTGACACGTACTTACATCTGTTTATGTTTATGGTAATGCACACACATATGTTTAATTATGTATTTGGACTGAGCAGTATTTATTTCTTTTAATAGATATTTGTATGCCAGGCCCAGGGTACCAGCCCACAGAACTGTTTGAATCTAAACACTATTAAATGTACCATAATTAAAGCCATGCAGAGTATCTAGATTATATTAAACTAATTTACTGAGTAAACAATAACAAATATTAAACATATGAAACCTGCATAATGAAGATGATATGTATTTACTCCAATCATATGTGTTGATGATAATCTTATTATAGACGAGTCATACATTTTCAGATATATGATATAATATTAGTTTCTATATTGAGATGGAAAATCTCTTGATGAGTGTGCTTTTGGTAAAAGCAAGTAAATATAATATTAAGAAGACTTTTTCGCTATATTCCTACTTTAAGTCAGGAAGTAATTGCAAAATATGTTTGTTTGTTTTTTTGTGTGTGTGAGTTTGTTTGTTTTTTTGTGTGTGTGAGTTTGTTTTTTGTGTGTGTGTGAGTTTGTTTTTTTGTGTGTTTTTTGTTTTTTAGTGTGTGAGTTTTTCTTCAATGTTATATTCATAATTTGCTCAGCATGAAACCTATCAAACAATATACATTTATTCTGATGACCAAGGTGATCTAAAAGTGGAAAGATATATATGATGATTGTCTATAAGTTACAGATTTGATTGTTATAGAAAACTCTAGTAATAAACTAACAAAAATTATAAAAAAAGAAAAAGGAAAAAATATTATCTAAAGCACAAGAAAACAAAATAAAACAGCAACAATATTACCTCCAGAGAGCTTTACAAGCAGACAAAATGTGATCACCGTTTGCCACATTGTTCAGTTGCTATACTAACTATGACAAACTTGTCTTGAAGGTCTTAATATATAGCCTGAACGAGGAAATAGCAGGTGCCTTTTCCCATGCATGAGAAGGGATTCTGTTTTGAAATACAATTTAAGAGAAAATTCTATCAAACAGTTCTCAGTAGAGATAAGGAGGGAGGGAGAGATAAGGGGGGGGGGGAGTGAAGAGGGTATTCTTTTGAGGTCAGTATTAGTAGTATTGATAATTATGTATATATCTGTGTGTGTGTGTGTGTGTTTGTTGTGTGTGTGTGTGTGTGTGTGTGTGTGTGTGTGTGTGTGTTTGTTGTGTGTGTATGTATGTGTATGTATGTGTGTGTTTGTGTGTGTGCGCGTGTGTGTTTATTATAATATCGAAATTTAATGCTGCTGAAACAAACAAACAAACAAACAAAATCAGTAGAGAAAGTTCCTCCTTTCAAGAAACTCCTAATTACTCCATATTACTGTAGAATAATTTTGTAATTTACCGGCTATTCGAGTAAGCACAAAAATATGTTGATTAACGACGGACGGCAAGTGGGAGAGGGAAGGAAAATAAGATTCACCTGAAAAAAAAAATTTAACCACCGACATATTGAACGAACATTGCCAAGAGGGTGTTAAACAACGAACTGACATAAGGGCGAGTTTCCATATACCTACAGAAGCCGGAGTCGACCATAAAGACAATGATTCTGAATAACCCTCTAGCTCGTTCGCGGTTCATTACCATGCGGGCGGAACGTTTCATCAGCTGGTTCAATTTGAGCGAAACAATTAGGCTCGTTAGGACCTGAACGATATTTCACAAGCCTTCGCCTTCTTCTCCTTACGCTACTTTCTCTCTATCGCACCCACTGAATTTAGAAACCAAAGGAAAAAGAAAAAAAGAACACTAATAATAACACCCCTACACACCGTAATCAAGCGGAATAAAAAAACAAAAGAAGAGAGAGAGAGAAAGAGAAAAAAAAAGAAAAGTCAACGAACCCCAAAGTTTCGAACAATATCCGAAGCGCTTCAATAAGGACGACGACAACAAACCTCTTTATTTCGATGCAAATGTATGCCGGCATCATCAACTGAGGCTTTGTCGCGTCCCGGGGTCTTATGATCTCCTGTTGTGCCTTGGGTCAACTCGGGGAGTCGGTTGAATGTGTTTTGATTGAATGTTTCGCTGTTCAACTGTCTCTGAGTATAAGTATCTGTCGGATAAGGATAAGGTGTGTGTGTGTTTGTTTGTGTGTGTGATTGGGGTTGGTATTTGTTTTTTGGTGTTTTAGGTGTTCAGGGATGAGTGAATAGGGGAGACGTTCGAAATATCTGTCAGCTTAAATCAGTGGGGGCTTTTAACACGATCTAGATTTAAAAAATAAATAAATAAAAAATAAGTGCACTTGTATTCATTTGCACATAAATATAGACATCCAGTCGTAAGCATGCACGCACGTACGCAGATACATACACGCACACACACACTAAAAGTCATAGTGTTTCCATGGCATCTTTTTATTGTCTACTGTTGTTTTTATCGTTATTATTACTCTCGCTGTTAATCCTATCATCATTAATCTGATATACAAACCTTTCTTTCTAGAGAATTAATCGAACACAATCGAGTTTGCATCCAAAGGAACGAAAATCAAAACGATATCAAAACCTCTATCTATACCAATGGGGAATTCCGTCATACACCAACGGTACGCTGAATTTCACTTTTTTACGCAGTTCAGATTTCATTAAATGTGTAATTCCCGATAATGATATGGCATATCTACAATTCGGACTCCTTGACTTTCTACTGTCCAAGGGAATTGTTGTTATAGATTTAATAACCTTGGAAACACCTCCTACTTAACAAACAGAAGTACAATTCTACAATATATATATATGTGTGTGTGTGTGTGTGTGTGTGTGTGTGTGTATATATATATATATATATATATATATATATATATATATATATATATATATATATATATATACACTGATATGTAAAAGTAGGATATTTTTGCCTTTGACCAAATGCACCAAAAACTAGAAGTTGGTCTCCCTCTTTGATAGTCTGTCTACTTGGTACTATTTCTGGTACACTGGTGACAGCCTTTGCTTTGTACTGCATAGTAATCACTTTCCCAGAAATGCATTAGTAAAGTGTTATGAGCTTGTCTGAGAGAAATTTTATCACTTGTACTTTCGTGTTGAAAAAAGAAAGACATTTTCTTATGCCTTTTATTATTGTTGTTGTTATTATTATTATTATTATTACAATTTTTATTGTTATTATTATTATCATTATTATCATTATTATTATCATTATTATTATCATATTATTATTATCATTACTACTACTATTATCATTACTGCGTTTATCACCATATGATAATAACCTCTTCCTTGTGCATGCAAATTTGGCAGCAGTTTCTCCTTTTCAGTCAAGTGAAATTTCTAGTTTCAAGTACATAACGCTGCTTTAAACTTAGGGCTTTATCTTTACTTGATCCTTGAATCTTGTGAAAAATTACAGTACGTTCTTCCCATGTGTTTTCAAGTCATGTAGTTTTGAAGGTATGTTGCCGTAGAGTGATCAGTGTACTTCCGTAATCTTTGACTTGTAAGCTTATGACTAGTGGATATTGATTTTTTTAAAATCTGCAACTAAATCAATTGCATCAAAATATTCAAATCAAATAGGGGCTTATTAGTACTCTAAGATAAATAGGTAGGTAGAGATAGATAAAATAGGGCTTAAACGTTTGCTATTTTCGAGTTGTTTTTGCTGCTTCTCCATTTCCTTCTTGTAAAATATTTGAAGGAAAAAAAAGGAAGAAATGAGGGACAGACTGGCATTCAGTCAAACAGAATGACAGACAGACCAACAGACCCTAATGAGAACACCCCTTACTTCCATCCTAAACTCCCCCCACCCCCCTAAAAAATGATACACTCCCTCCACCCCCCTAAAAAAATGACACACTCCCCCCCACCCCCCTCTAAAACGACCTCCCTAAAAAAAAAAAATAAATAAAAAAAAATCGAACAGCAAGAATCCCACGATAACGACCTCAGTCTCAAAGAAGAAGTAGAAGAAGAAGAAGGAAAAAAAAAAAAAAACAGTCAAAAGGACCTATTCGAAGACCTGCACGGACAAGCACGGCGCTACATCCCAGTGGTAGGCCCCGCCGGAGACAAATGATCCTGCCAGTGACCCCAGCAGTGTGCTAATGCTACATTACATTGGAAGGCCCTTTGTCAGAAGCGTGGAGATGGGAGGGGGAGGGGAGAAGGGGGGGCATGTAGGAAGTAGGGGAGAGGTAGAGGGAAGGGGTCGGGGGGAGGGAGAAGGTAGAGGGGTAGGGGAGAGGTAGAGGGAAGGGGGTAGGGGGGAGGGAGAAGGTAGAGGGGTAGGGGTGAGGAAGGGTAGGGAAGAGGTAGAGGGAAAGGGAGAAGGTAGAGGGGTAGGGGGGGTGGGGAAGGGTAGGGGAGTGGTAGAGGGTTGGGGAGAAGTAGGGGGTAGGGAGAAGGGAGAGGTAGAGGGGAAAGGGAAGGGGAAGGAGGGGGGAGAGGTAGAAGGCAGAGGAGAGGGGAGGAGACAGGGATTAGGAAAGGGGAGAAGAAATGAATAGTAAGGTTTAATAATCATGAGAGGATTAGGGATAGGCAGGGAGGGGACAGAATAGATAGAAAATAAATAATTAAGGGGTAGTAATCAGAAAGAACGAGGAAGAGGAGAAAGATAAAGGATATAGTAAGGAAAGAGAAAGGGAAAGGGATTACGTAAGGGGGGAAGGCAAGGAATAGGTGGAGAGGGCGATAGGTGAGGAGAGGAAAAGTAACGGCGGAGGGGGAATAAGCAAGGAAGGGGAAGAATAAACGTAGAGAGGAAAGGGGACTAAGGGAGTAGGTAAGAGAAAGAGAGTAAGAAAGAAAAACAAAGAAGAAAGGAGGTAGAAAGAGCAAAAGATGGGGAGGAAGGAAAATATATAGGGTAAGGAGAAGGAAAGAGGGAGGAGGTATGATAGAGGAATAAGAAAATAGGATTAGAGTAGGAAGAGAAAAGAGGAATAGGCGGGAGAGGGATTGGGAAGAAGGAAGGAAAGAGGGGGGGAGGAGGGCGACAGGAGAAATTATCGTATACCTGACATTTTTATATGATTTTTAGATATGATTTTTTTGTTTTGATTTTTTTTATGTCTAATTTCGTTTAAACAAGATATTTTCCTTAATTGCGAGAAGAGTTTTTTAACGGAATTTAATTTATCTCTCTCTCTCTTACCATCCCTCTTTTCCTCTTTGCTTACTTTTCTTCTCCCCTCCAACCCAGCTACCCTCCATCACTCTCTCTTCTCTCTCTCTCTCTCTCTCTCTCTCTCTCTCCTTCTATCGCTCTCTCCCTTTCTCTCTCTCTCTCTATCCCTCTTACTCTCTCCCCTTTTCTTTCTCTCTCTCTCCCTTTTTTTCTCATTTTTTTTCTCTCTCTCTTTTCCTCTTTTTTTCTCTCTCTACCCCTCTTACTCTCTTCCTTTTTCTTTCTCTCTCTCTCTCCTTTTCTTTCTCTCTCTCCCTTTTTTTTCTCACATTTTTTTCTCCCTCTCTCTCTTTTCCTCCTTTTTTCTCTCTCCCTCTCTTTTCCTCTTCTCTCTCTCTCTCTCTCTCTCTCTCTCTCTCTCTCTCTCTCTCTCTCTCTCTCTCTCTCTCTCTCTCTCTCTCTCTGCGTCCCCACCTCTGTCAGCTATAACGAAGGGCGACATGCTATCTGTAAGTCAACTCAAGTATTCTTTTGACAGGTCAGGTGTCGTTGGGGGGGCGGAGGGGGAAGGAAGGATAAGGGGTGGGGGGAGGAAGGGAGGTTGACAGAGGCGACATTATTCTGGTCATGCACGGAACGGGTGTCATGCAAAACGCCTCGGTTGTCATGGGAAGTAGGTAGTCGAAAGGTTCGCTATTGACGATGCGTTTCGTCAGTCTCCCGAGAACCATCAAGGGAGACGTGTTTGCTGATGT